AACTGAACAACTGTGAAGGGAACATGCTTTTACCGTCGGTATTGTTTCGGAAATTAAATTAGTTTCTTTATACTTTATCTCTGTTGAATTTTTTGCAAGTAAATTACATGGTGCAATAAATTTTCTAGTAAACTTCATGACAATAATCAATGACGCAAACGCCGCAGCCGAACGAATTGACGCTTAAATAAGTGTTTGGTATACTGAAATCAAACATTTCACTTGGATTTTTAAACTGCGAGCGGTAGGAGAAATTTTTAGTTTGTGAATGAATTTCTATTAATGCAGCATCTTGGTCATCACTCTTAATCTGGGCAAAGATATCGCATTTACCTGAAAAAATGATATAATATCATTTTTCTTATTTTTTAAGGCACTGAAAAGAGAAAGTAGCATGTTTACCTAGTTTGCTAGTTTGGTTTAGTCATCGATGATGATTTAAGAAAATTAATTTAGCTTAGCAAAATTTATTTGCTGTAAAGTTAAACCGTGGCAAAAGGTGAATGAAAAATACAATTATGTTTGAAGAATTATAACTTTTCAGTAAAACGGAATTTTTTAGATTGTCAAAAACATGTTTCTTTTAATTAGCAGCAACTACGTAGCCATGATGTATTCTTAAAAATTTACAGACAGTTTTAAACAACGTGTTCCGAAAAAAAAAAAAAAGTAAAAAGTCATGTTTCCGTCACAAACAAATCGCTGATTGTTCCACGAGTCATCAGAGATCCAAATTTGATTTGTTCTTCATGGAAAATGAATTATCGGTCACAGAAAACTTAAAAAATCTTAAAATCTTAAGATAAAAAAAAGTCTTTAAGAAATTTTAAAAAAATCTAAACTTGATCTTGCATTTGGAAGGTTTCAAAATTTTTACACTTTTTTTCTCAGTGTTTTAGGAAGTCATTAGACGAGTGGAACTCAAATTGATCTCAAGTGTTCAGATTGCACTAGGTGGTCTAGGTGGTTGTTCTTGATATCGTCATTTTCTTCGATAAGGTTTAAAGAAATTTTCAGTTTTTCTTACTTTATAGCTTAATCTGTAATCGCGTTGACCAAAAATTTCCTAAAACTGCAAACTCAAATGTTCTAAAGAAGAGATAATTTTCTAAAAAAATTTTTTACAGTAATTTAAAATTTTTAGCTTTTTTGAAAGTGTTAGAAACTTTTTTTTGTAATTTTTTGATAGGAATTTGAAAAAAAAAAAGCAGATGAAATATTTTCAATTTAGCTAGAATAAACATGTTACTAAAAAAATTGAGAAAGTTTAAAGTTTGTTCGGTTTGGCGGAAGTTGCAAATTACCTATTTTCTTGGTTTTGTGCTTAGAAGATTAAGCTTTTTAGTTACTTACTAGTAAAAAAAATTTAAGGCATGCCATTTTAGTGATGCAAGTTCCAGAAACATTTAATGTGCAACTTGTTTTATGCAAATTTAAAAATGACGTTGCAAAAAACTCTTGTTTGATCAGCTTCCTTGCCTTACGTTAAACTCTGTAATTGTGTCAGAGAAGAAAGTGTTTACCAAATATAAATTGGGAGAAATAATTTTTCTACTAGCATTTTATGCTCACCTTGTTGATTGCAAACAGGATAAAGAAATAATGCTGAATCTTCGTTGTTCATTTGATAACAGAAGGCTTCTTTGGTACAAATGCAAGCGTTAGCGCAAAAAATACCAATTTTATACGAATTCTGCGAACCATTAGATTGTACTGCTCGGAAATACAATTTTATTCCATAATTACATGTAGCTAAACAAAATACTACGAATAATAATACTACGAGTCATTAGCAAAAGAACCGGAACTA